AGGAAACGGCACAGCTCTTCATCAAAGACATACGACAACGCTCATATCCGACAGGGATCCCAAGTTTACTAGCAAGTTCTGGAAAGAGCTCATGTCGCTCATGGGGACATGCCTAGCGATGTCATCGGCATATCATCCCCAGAACGATGGGCAGACAGAGCGCTTGAACCAGATTGTGGAACAACTCTTGCGCGCAGCGTGCAAGGACGACATTAACAAGTGGGGCCTCCACTTGCCAGTGTTAGAGTTCGCCTACAACAATGCGAAGCATGCCGCAACAGGAGAGACTCCATTCTTCCTCTGTTACGGTCGACATCCGCTAACTCCACAGCAGCCAACAGTACCTGCAAGCACGACTTCGTTACCACAATGCAGCAGCTTTGGGATCGGACACACAAGCGCCTGAAGGACATACAGTCTTCACAAAAAACGCTCGGCCGATCGCCATCGCCGTGATCATACCATTGCGGTTGGTGACCATGTGCTTCTTGACACATGCAACCTCAACCTCGGTCACCTTCCATCCAAGTTGCGACCTCGCTTCTGCGGACCTTTCCTCGTAGAAGAGCAGGTCACTCCAGTCACATTCCGCTTGCGCCTACCAGCTACTTGGAAGATTCATAATGCCTTCCACGTACAGCTTCTTAAACCCTATCGGGATCCAAATAAGCTGTACACGGGACGCCAACCTCCGCCGCCGCCTCCAGTCCTCGTCAAAGATGAACCTGAGTACGAGGTCGAATCCGTGCTTGCACATCGTCGTCGTCGGCTTGGTGCCCTGGAGTTTCTCATACGCTGGAAGGGCTATGATCCTTCCGAGGACAGCTGGGTCTCTGAAGAAGACATGAGTAACGCCCGACGTTCTCTTCGCGACTATCTTGTCAAGCAGGGTGTTACGTCTACCACCCAGCTTTGAGGGGGGGAAGTGTAAGAGTACGTCGACGTTCGACATATTTCTCATTTCCATATTTTTTTTACTGTATCTTATTCTCCTTATTGTCCTCTTTCAATTGCACTTTATTTCACCTCAATCGGACTACTATTCTATTTTCTAGAGCTTTCCGATTATTTCACTTATTTGTATTTTCGGCACCGACAATTATATTATATGGCACCGACAGCACCGACGGTGGTGTACAAGGCGTATTCTCGACATAATCCAATGTGCCAATGGGCTTGCGTGCTTATGCGCACTAGTGATTATGTATTCTAGAAGAGCGCGTTCCCGAAGGTTCGGATTATCGCTTGTTTCTATGTATTTCTGAGTATAAATACGCCTTGTACTCACCTTTAGTGCAACATTCTCGAGTGGAAATTCGATCCTGTGACACACTCTCTGGACATCAGCACAGCCTTCTTACAAGGCAGTCGGCACGAGGAGATCTGGCTGCGCCGCCCACCTGGCTTCACTGGGTCGTTCCCTCCTGGTACCCAGTGGAGCCTCTGGCGGCCAGTCTACGGTCTCCGCCAGGCGCCTCGTGAGTGGCACGACACACTGAGAACGACACTTGCGGCTCTTGGGTTCGCGCCTTCTACTGCTGACCCGTCGCTGTTTCTGCGCACCGACACTTTGCTGCCGCCGTTCTACATCCTCGTGTACGTCGACGACTTGGTCTTTGCCACTGCTGACACTGAGGCTCTCGCCCTGGTGAAGTCGGAGCTGCAGAAGAGACACACGTGCGCAGACCTGGGTGAGCTGCGCAGAAACCTTGGCTTGCAGATCACCTGGGACAGAGCACGCCGCACCATCACATGGTGTTTAAATAGGCGGAAAAAGTCCTCGCCAAATCTCGATGCATGAGACCCTGGCGTAAACGAATCAAATGCACTGCCGAGCCTAATCTGAGTTTACCTCGATTGGTTCCCATAATTTGGGGAAGCGCAGCCTGCGATCTTCAGTGAGTCATATCAAAAAGCAAGTAAGTTCACCAGTGACTTACATGTAACCGTTCCAATTAGTTTTCGGGTCTGAAAAGTTAGTTTTCAAACCCGTCAATTTTCGGATGTGGGCGATCCGAGAGGACCCAATGGTTTCCGCTGTCTTCTAGACTGTTGTAACACCTGAACTACACTATACTATGGTCGTTGAGCCAGTATTCTAAGGTGAGGCTCGTAACGTTTCCTTTGTCGGCATCTTTTTACTGACATCAGTTCGAGTAGGTGGCATTGTTAGTAGGATGTGCGGAGACCTGGTTTTCAATTTCCCGTGAGCACAGTCGATTTGCAGAAACTTGTAGTGCAGCCTCACTTTCCTTGTGCGTTGTAAGGGTGGGAGGGTGTGCGAAACCTTCTGATTGGTTGTATTCTTCACTTCATGCGACCCACTTTTCACTTTGGGTTGGTGAGAATCGCAGGTTTGGTATGCACGAAATGCCGAATTGCTCGCGAGGTTTGTAGTTCTCGCCAAACCCACACAACCGAAATAGGTTTCGCGCACCCTCACCTACAGCCTGTTTCAAACTTACATAACTTGAAACTTTACCATGCTGACCTTGGGCTTTAAACCGTTTTCTATCAAGGATGTGCCAAAACTTGTCAGGGTCTTTGCAAAGGAGACTTTCTTGAAATTACTTTAGAGACTTCTCAAAATCATAGGAGACTTTGTTGGTGCTGCCACTTGACTGCAACAACTATGGACACCATCATCCTGCTGGATCTGCCCCTCTTTGCGCTTGCTCCCCCAACCAGCCCCCCCCCCTTCCCACCCCTCCCCACTCTACCGCAAGTGGCTGAGATGTGGAGAAGCATGGCGATGCTGTCTGATAGCACCGCAGGCACCAGCATTTTGCTGGCCCTGCCCTTCTTTGCACGAACCCCCCTAACCGAACCTGAGGGCAGGAGTAGCAGCAGGGCAAATGGATGGGTGTGAGGGCCAATCCAGAGGGCTGCAGCAGTAGATGGGGGTTCCGTCAATCCCGGAGCTCCTGTGGTCACTCCGTCCCTTTGAGCCCAATAGCCTCATTAAGATTAATAGCCTCGTTAAGCCCAATTACCCTGTTAAGCCCATTAACCCCTTTAAGCCCAATGGCCTCAGTAAGCCTAGTTAGCCTACGGATACATGCAATACCACAGTTGACTCTCCCCTTTTCTGAGTGCGGCATCGGGAGCAGCTTAGGTGGGAATAGCACAGGAGTTGTAGGGATTGTAGGAGGCGGAGTGCATGATGGCCTGGGCGGAAGTACGAGCAGCGCAGAGGCGGCCGTGCGGGTGGGGGCGGCAGGGCGGCGGATGGCAGTGGTGGATGACAACGCGGTGAACCGCATGGTGGTGCGGAGAACTCTGCAGGGCTATGGCGCCCACGTGCTGCAGCTGGCCTTGGGAAAGGACGCCCTGTAAGATGTTTCCTCCAACATGGACCCCTCTCCCTTGTTCAGAATGTACTAAACGAGAATAAATTGAACTTACAAGATGGTGGTAAAAGTAGGAAACCCTAGAAAGTTCTACTCCTTAAGGCTAGCCTCATTATAGCCAAACAATGTACTATCATACAGTTTTGACACACCCCCATAGGCGAAGTGGGGGATAGTATGAACAACAAACAGTCACAAGACCAATCAAGAGATGTAACAAAACAAAACTCAGGGTGGATCTCAAGATCATCACACAGTCCGAGCACAAGCAAGCCGCCACAAGGCCAGTTCACATGCAAAGTTATAAAAGAGCATGCAGTTGATGATCACAACCTAGCAAAAATAAACAGGTAGGCATATATATAGCTGAGTACAATGCAAAGTTAAGAGACAGTACAATTAAGAGATAATACTGTCAAGAGACAGTCAAGAGACAAGCAAATGAGGCAGAGCAGGCACAAGGCCTAGAGTAGAGCAAAAACACTGATTATCACCAGACCCAAGGGCCTTGGTGAAGATATCAGCAGTGTTGGCCTGAGAGGCCACGTAAGCTAGGTGAAGCTGACCGTACTGCTGCACCTCTCGAGCAAGAAAGTAACGAACATCAATGTGCTTCGTTCTGGTTTTGAAAGTGTAACCCTGTGATGACCGCTGAGTTGTCTGGTCGTCAGCCCAAGAAGCGCCTGAGTGCTTTGTGAGCACAACTTGACACCGTCATCCAAACACAAGCCCAATGCTGGATGTACTGCACAAGTAGCGCATTACCCTCGTAGTAGCCCAGTAGTGCACAGGGTGGTGTCTCTCGGGCGCAACATAGTGCGCCAGGATGCTGAGACGGTATGCGACGTCAGGCGGAGTGCACGTCATCAAGTACATGAGGCAGCCCAACCAGCTTTGGATACGGACCCCTTGGCTCTACGGACTAGTCCGAAGGTGGACCTGAGAGCGAGTGTCCCATAGGCAGAGAGGTAGACTGTGGCGAGGAGAACTGGAAGCCGAAGCGCTGAAGGACCTGCTGCACCATGTGTGAATGAGTCAGGGTGATGGTGTGCTGTGCTCTGTCCCGGGTGATCTGCAAGCCAAGATAGCTCCGCAGCTCACCCAGGTCAGTGCAGGTGTGTCTCTTCTGCAGCTTCGCCTTCACTAGGGTGAGTGCCTCAGTGTCAGCAGTGGCGAGCAAATAACAAGTCGTCGACGTACACGTGAACGTAGAATGGCGGCAGAGAAGGGTTGGTGCGCAAAAACAGCGACGGTTTAGCAGAGGAAGGAGCAAACCTAAGAGTCGCAAGTGTCGTCCTCAGTGTGTCGTGGCACTCTTGGGGCGCCTGGCAGAGACCGTAGACTGGCCGCCGGAGGCTCCACTGGGTACCCGCAGCAAACGAACCAGTGAAGCCAGGTGGGCGGCGCAGCCAGATCTCCTCGTGAAGGCTGCCCTGCAAGAAAGCTGTGTAGAAGCCGAGGGAGTGCAGCTCGTAGTCACGCTGTGCTGCAACGTGCAGCAACAAGGGTCGATGCGACTGAGAGGAGTACTCACCCGCGATCGCCTCAGCGTAAGAGCGCGGGGTAGGGATGTCAAGTGCATCCGGGTCTCCCTCAGGGCAAAGCAGCATGGATGCGAAACGAGGCAAAACGACTGCAAGACACTCAAGCTCAAATGGGTCTTCCCTCAATGACGTCACTGCAAAGGGCAGGCTCACCCTCGACGGACGGGGGACAGACGGACTCAGACTCAGGAACAAGCCTCGCGACGTAGTTGAGACGACTCCTAGTAGCAAAGTCGACTAGCTCAGTGACCAAGGCAAACGCAGCCGTAGAATCAAAGGAAGGGTCAGTGGCGACAGTGGCGAGGAGACGAGTGACAGTAGGACTGGCAGCACGAGCAAGGTCGGACGGCAGGTCAGGCACATCAGGAAGTGAGGACGCCAGAGGAGACGGCAGGGCAACACACTGTGGAACAGAGGAAAGACGAAGTGCCATAACGTGAGTGCCCGGGACAGCAGGAGGACGAGGACAGGTGACACGACGAGCACAAACAGGTGTGGAGGTACGAGACGCAGGCTCACGACGCTCTGTCAAGGAGTCTTGCAACTTAGTGTAGGGAGAAGGAGCAGGCAATAAGGAGCCAAGTGGCAACTGTGACTGAGACGAGCCAGACGGCGGACACGTGAGAGGTGGAGTGAGGCCAGTGGAAGAGGGGAGACTAAAAACCTGGCGAAGGGCCGAGTCAGGCGATGGCAGGGACGACTGCGGCTGCGGGTAGAAAAACGGTCGGCGCGGCGCAGTACCCGTACCGTCAGCAGCTCCACCACCTCTAGTACCTCCAGCTCCAGCACCTCCAGCTCTAGCATCTCTAGCACCTCCAGCACCAGCAGCACCACCAGCTCCGGCAGCTCCAGCACCTCCAGTACGAGCACCTCCAGGACCAGCAGCTCCAGCACCTCCAGTACCTCTAGCTCCAGTGCCTCCAGCACGAGCAGCACCTCCAGCACCTCCAGCACCAGTAACACCACCAGCTCCGGCAGCTCCAGCACCTCCAGTACGAGCACCTCCAGGACCAGCAGCTCCAGCACCTCCAGTACGAGCACCTCCGGGACCAGCAGCTTCAGCACCTCGAGGACCTCCAGTGCCTCTAGCTCTAGCTTCTCCGACACCAGTATCACCTCCAGCACCTCCAGCACCAGCAGCTCCAGCACCTCCAGCACCTCCAGCAGCTCCAGAACCTCTAGTAGTACCTCCAGTACCAACAGCTCCAGCACCAGCAGCACCTCCAGTAGTGCCTCCAGCACAAGCAGCTCCAGCGTCTAGGAATCTCCAAGCTCCAGCACCAGAGCTGCCTCGCCAAACGACCCATTCACGAAGCTGCTGCGGTGAGGGCGTCGCGACTCGACTAGGCGGCTGCTGCTGTCCAACGCCAGGACCTGCAGTAGGAGCACCCATGGCCCCACCACCACTAGGACTCGCAGCACCCCTAGAGTCAGCACCCCCAGAACCCTCACCCCAAATCTCAGCACCCCCAGGGCCAGTACCTCAAGTCTCAGCACCCCCAATCTCAGTACCCCCAGGACCAGCACCCCCAGGGCCAGCACCTCCTACGTCCTTACCCCCAGTGTCACCACTCCCAGCAGCACCAGTGTCCACAGCTACATGCTCCAGAGGCGGCGAAGACGGTCGAGGTGGAAAACCAGGAGGAGTCTCCAAGCGCAGAGAGCGACGAGTGGTCGTCGTGTCGTTGGTAGCGGGGTGACACCCCTCAGCTGGGCCAAAGGTGTCAGAGGAGATCACTAAAGGCTCAACCAGGAGGGGTGGGTCTACCTGAGACACACCTGAGGGAGCAGGACCCTGTAGGGGAAGGGTGTCTACCGGGGGGGGAACAGGTACCAGAATGAGAGGCGCCAGGGGGATCGGGTGGGGCGCATGCGGGTGGAGCCTGTAGAAACAGACAGACTCATCAAAGGTGACGTCCTGGGAGGGCAGGACTCGACGCGAGCGAGGGTGGTACAACTGCCATGGCGGGACGTTGGTGGGGAAGCCCAGGAAGGCGCAGCGGAGAGTGCAAAGAGAGAGCTTGCTCGTGGTGGTATCGCGGACAAGGGAGAGCGAGCCCTAGACCCGAAAGGCCGACAAATTGCCAACCTTCCCCATCCAACGTAGCGTGGGCGCGGTCTCCAGCAAAGAGACATGGGGCAAGAGGTTGAGCTGATACGCAGTGTATCAGACCGCAAACGGCCACAGAAAATGGGGGCAGCCGCATGGATCATGGAGGTACGAGCAACCTCCATGATCAAGCCAATGTGACGCTTAGCAATCCCATTCTGCTGCGGTGAGGCCGGAAGTGTGAATGATTGGATAATGCCCTCGGCTCAACAGAACTCTGCAAGGAGGCCGGAAGATAACTCACCGCCCCTGTCAGAGTGCAGACGCAGGACTGGACAGTCCTGCGAAACCGCTCGCGCAGCTGGCGACGAGTAGCGCTGATCCATTGAATCAAATCACCACTGACGTCCGTCTTGAGCCGCAAGGGGAAGACCGTGGTGTAGCGCGTGTAGTCATCAATGACCAGCAGGAAGTAGCACTCTTGGTCCGTCCCACTGACGGGGGCCGGGCCCCACACGTCCATATGGAGAGTCTGCAGAGGGGGAGTGGTCGGAGGAAACGAGGAGGAGTGAGGAGCGGTGCGCTGCCGCCACTTGACGTATTTAAGGCACGGTGGGGCAGGCAAGTGCGGGAGGGGGGACAGGGACCTGAGAAGGCCAGAGAGAATGAGACGGGAGTGCATGCTGTGGAGACGCGGCAGAGAGGGGTGACCGAGTCGGTGGTGCCAGAGAAGAGTCTGGTGGGAGAGTACCAGACATGAGCACAACGCAGCGAACTGACCAGACGCAGACACCTGACTCGACGCAGCCACCTGACCTGACGCAGCCACCTGTGCAGACTGGACCGAGGCTGCCGAGTGAACGTAGCAAGGTGACGTCCAATCCAGGAGCACGTACAGATCACCACACACAACCTTCCAGAGATAAAGGTATCAACCCAGACATTCTGGAGGACTGCGTTGCTCATCAAATTCGTCGAGAACGAGGGGAGGTGGAGGCCTAAAAGAGAGCCGGAGGGGACTGCCGGACATGGGAGGACAGTGGAGGCTCGTGGGACGACGGGGCACACAGAGGGGTCAGCAGTGAGACAGAGACCGAAGCAACGAGTGGTGTGACTGTGGTGCAATCACAAAAGAAGCAACGAGATGTGCCATTTCAAGTGTGAAAGTGTGCATGGCCTCAGCTGAGGCAGCAGACTCACTAATGGCAGACTCACTAGCACCTATGGCAACAGTCTCACTATCACCTAGAGCAGCAACAGACTCACTAGCACCTATAGCAGCAGCATCGACACTACCAGAGATGCGTCGCTGAGAAAACCACTCCCAAGGCTACTGTGGTGAGAGAGTCTCCGGGCTACGAGACTGCCGCTGCTGTTGAGTACCTCCAAGGACATATCCTCCACCACCAGGACGGCCTCGCTGAATAACCCACTCACGAAGCTGCTGCGGTGATAGAATATCCGGGTGAGGCATCTGCTGTTGTCTACCGACAGACGCTTCTACGGCCGTGATAGTGGCCATGACTGGCAGTGTCAGTCAGTAACAGTGGCGCATGGGCGTCAGAAGCGACTGCTGTAGCTGCAGCTGTAGCAGCAGCGATAGTCGCTGTAGTGGCTGCAGGGCAGGGCAGCGCGCGGGCTGCAGGGCTGCGCAGGCAGGGAAGCGCACGGGCTGCGGGGCATGCGGGCAGCAGGGCAGGGCAGGGCAGTGCAGTGCGCGGGCCACAGGGCAGGGCAGCGTGTGGGCTGCAGGGCAGCAAAGCGCGCAAGCTGCATGGCAGGGCCACGCGTGGGTAGCAGGGCAGGGTGACGCGTGGGCTGCTCGGCAGGGCTATGCGCGGGCTGCAGGGCAGGGCGACGCATGGGCTGCAGGGCAGGGCGACGCGCGGGCAGCAGGGCAGGGCGACGCGCGGGTAGTAGGGCAGGGCGACGCGCGGGCTGCACAGCAGGGCTATGCGCGATCTGCAGGGCAGGGCGACGTGCGGGCTGCACGGCAGGGCTATGCGCGGTCTGCAGGGCCGGGCGACGCACAGGCTGCAGGGCAGGGAGACGCACGGGCTGCAGGGAAGGGCGGCGCACGGGCAGCAGGGCAGGGCGATGCGCGGGCTGTATGGCAGGGCGACGCGCGGGCTGCAGGGCAGGGCGACGTGCGGGCAGCAAGGCAGGGCGACGCGCGGGCAGCAAGGCAGGGCGACGCGCGGGCAGCAGGGCAGGGCGACGCGCAGGCTGCAGGGCAGGGCAACGCGCGGGCTGCAAGGCAGGGTGACGCGCGGGCTGAAGGGCAGGGCGGCGCGCAGGTAGCAGGGCAGTGCGACGCGGGGGCTGTAGGGCAGGGCGGCGCGCGGGCTGCAGGGCAGGGCGGCACGCGGGCTGCAGGGTAGGGCGGCGCGCGGGCTGCAGGGTAGGGCAGCAAGCGGGCAGAGCGCAGAGCAGGGTAGAGCGTATCAAGCAGGGCAGTGCGCGGCGAGCAGGGCAGTGCGCGGCAAGCAGGGAAGCACACGACGGCAGCAGCTCCTTGGGCAGTATGTACGGCTGGTGGGCCCTAACGGAGCAGTCCTACAGATGGATTTGCTTTGAAACCATGTCAAGAGAACTGTTCATGAATGGATGAACTATGCAAGTGTGAGATATAAGTAGTAAACCCTAATTGGGGTTGTACTCTATACTGAGCACCAGGCCACTGGATACGATTGGATGCACTCTTACTCGAAAGGCTAGGTCGCGGAAGTTGGTCTTTCTGTAAGGGTGGGGCAGCCATGTCAGTCTTGTTTATCAGTGTGTGCTGCAAAGTTACTCGTGCTCGTCAGTATGCACATTGGTTAGTTAGTTAGTTAGTAGTTACCCTTCCTTGTTTTGGTATCATTTACGGTTGATTTTGCATGAAAAGTAGAATGAGAGACAAAACTACATAACGAGAGCAGCTACAGCAGCACCTACAGATGGGATGGCCTGGTTCTAGCAGAATACGCTTAGCTTAGGGAAGAAACACAAGTCAATATAGGAACTCTTGGGCAGAACTGCGCTTGTTGCTAGCATTGAAAATGGCTACCAGTTCAGACCCTCGGTGGGCAGGAGTGCTGCAGTCATCAGATCGCCCAGTTTGGCATTGCCCAGGCAGCTCCGTGTCCACATCTTGATACGGTTCTGCCGGCTGAAGCCACGCTTGCACTTCACCGTGCTCAGTGGGAGCACAGCTACAGCCTGCCACAGCTGCACGAGGTTCGGGTAAGCTCCCATGTAGTCAGTTGACTGGAGCATGAGCGAGAGCGACTTGTGGAAGCCCAGGTTGCCGTGATTGGTATCCATCGTGTGTAGAAACAACAGCAGCTCCCTCTCGCACGCCTTGAAGCACACACCTGACGGGATGGGAGAGCAGGGAGAGGGGCGATCGGGGCGTAGGGGAGGTGTTTAGCAGCACACCAAGGTACACACATACACACGCAAAGTAGACAGCACATTGTATGCACATCAGGTGGCGTACCAAAGGGGAGGTGGTGAAACATATGGTCTAGCATGCCCAACCACTCGCGGCACTTCATCATCCGCTGCGCGTTGTCGTCGGGATAGCACGACGGCCGGAAAAGCTTGGAGCCGGCCAGGTCCTTCAGGTCTTCCAGGCAGAACTCCAGACGCCCAACGCAGGCCTTCGCAAACTCCTGGCGCACCGCTTTGCAGGAATAGTAGTCGCCGCCAGTCTCATGGCTTGGGATTTTACGCTCACGTAGAACGAACTTGTGATTTGCCGCGTCGCCATTCTGGTCCACGCCTTTGACGATGACTTCGCAGTGGTCCAGGTTGCCGTGCCTTTTCAGGAACGCGCAGAGCATGGGCGACTGATCGTTGTCGAAACGATCCTCGCAATCCACGTAACGCACTTCGATAGTCCAGCATGCAAGCGACACCTCCCCCGCGACCACTGTGATGTCAACCTGTGGGTGGGTTTGGTTTGGGATAATGAGTTGCAATCAGAGGTTAGTGTAAGGTGGGGACATAAAACAATCGCCGCATACAAGAACAACCAGGGACAAGGTGGGGATAACGGGATACAAAGTGGGGAAAACGGGATACAAGGTGGGGAAAACTAGATAGAAGGTGGGGAAAACGGGACACAAGGTGGGGAAAACGGGATACAACGTGGGGAAAACGGGATACAAGGTAGGGTACAACGGCATACAAGAACAACCACGTGGACACCACAGATCACCTGCTGCTTCTGGAACTAATCGTTGAGCTCGTTGAGCACATCAAGAATGTCGGCAAGGAAAAAAAAGCATGAAGTGGAATTTGAAAAAGGTCACGACTTCATAGCTCCAAATCATGGAGCACCACAATCGTCGCCGGCAGAACCTTGGCGAACCGCTTCACTGCCTCCCCTCTAGAGAGCCATCGCACATCGTGGATCCCCTGCAGCTCCAAGTTTGTTTCGTAGATGCACTCCTGAAGGTGCTCGAATCGCCGGTGCCAGCTGGTCGACCTTGATAGTTGTTCCGCCACGTTGCGCACCGCTTGGTCAATGATCTCGAACTCCGGCACCTTCTCAGCGGCATCCTTCGCGGCCAACGCCTCCTTGCTAAGGTAGAACAGAAAAAAAGAGCGAATGTAGTGAGAGGGCAGTACATGAACAACACTACACATTGGCTTTAAACATATAACACTGACGGACTTACCAATGTGCGATGTAGTGGCACGACACGAGATAGAAATTCCTCGCCCTGAGTCGTGCCACAACGCCATTGCTGGTGCTCGTCATGACTCTGGCGCCGTCGGTGCTGATTCTGATGATCTTGGATAGGTCAATGCCCACGGCGTCTAGGTGGGTCAGCAGAATGTCGACGAGGCTTGGCGCGTCACATTTGTCCACCGCCAGCAGCGTGAGAAACTCACAGGTGCTCGCTCTGTCCTTTATGAAGCTCA